TATTAATACTGTATTTATTAGAATATTCTTGTTCTTAGGGAATATGCTGAAGTATTTAGGGGTAGAGTATTTTGGGGTAAATGGTTATAATGTCTGCAGTTTACTTTCCAGTAAAAGCAAACCAACCAACTAAATTATAAAGATGTAAAACAAATATGGCATATGTTAACAATTGGTGTATACCAATGAAAGGAATGTGGCAATCTGTCATGTTATTCTTTCAAACTCTTTTGAGATTTTATTTTCAAAAGAAGGAGTTAAGAGGGAGCGTAATAAATGGGGCATAATAAGTGAGTACTGGGCCTGAAGGGGTGACTTTTTTTCTATCTTTCTCTCCTTTGGTCTGAGCTGCTGTGACTCTGCCTGTGTGGTGTTCAGCACATTGGAAGCCATCCAGATCCATCATGTGTCCATGTGGATCAGGCTGAAGAGGTTAAGGGTGGGGGACTTCACAGAGGGAGCAGCCCCTTATCCCCCAGGGTAGGAAGGGTGGCAACAAAAACCTGGGAGAGAAGGCTCCTAATGTTTGGGAGCAGGGTAGCAGGGAAGAGAGGCCTGGTGTGTGTTGAGGGGTGGTGGTTACTGAGTGGAGTCTTGGCCCTCACCAAGTATCTGCAGGACTTTCTCCATGCCCAGAGCCTTCTGTCCCCAGTGATGGTACTACCTTCACCCCTGCCTGTGGTCTAGAGAGTAGGAGTCCCCTGGGCAAGATAGGAAGATGCATAAGCCTCTTACCTCTTCCCTTGCCTGGGTGCTCACTTCTGCCTGCTCACACAGACACTGGCCTTAGTGCAGACTTGTTCTCCCAGGGGTGGGGTCCATGAGACTACCAGTGTCACCCAAATCTCCAGCTGTCTTTCTGCCACCAATGGTGGCTGCAGGTATGGGGCCAGGCCAAGGCTGTTGCCCCATTCTGACTTCCTGGGCAAGCACTACAGGCCTGAAATGGCACAGATTCCTTAAGCATCAAGACAGAAGGAACAGGGAGGATTTCTCTGCTTGCAGCCCCAACTCTCAGCTCTCTGTTCAGAGAGGGTGAGGAGGCAGAGAGGAAGGGTTCATTCATTGAGAGAAAACCCAATCAATCAGTCAGGGAGCCACTCAGGGCAGGTGGGCAGAGGGGGGGCCCAGGAGGTGGGGGCCTAGAGAGGCAGGGGTTGTATCTGTGAGCAGCTGCCTGGGGGCTGGATTCTGGGCTCTTTCTTCACTGTGACCTCTTGAGCTGTCTCCTCAGAAAAGAGCCAGCTGCTTGGTCAGTGTGAAAGCCTGGCTGAGTGTCTCACGGTAGCCTCTGCATGCCTATCAGTCTGTCTGCTCCTGTCCACTTGGGGATTGTGGGGTGAGAGTGCACGGGCGTGCATCCTGTCCCCCTAGCTGCAGACTTTGCTGGGAAGGAAGAGGTTTGTGGCCACACCCAGCCAGTCTCCACTGCTTCTGACCTTTGCTGAGCTAGCTCGGCAGGTACTGGGGAGATGCTGAGGAAGGTTAAGGTGAGCTATGCTCTTTGGTGTCTTAGTCTCTTTGGGGTGGATGCCCCTGAGGATGATGAGTTGGATGGCCCTATGAGTTCATGCTAGAGTCTGCATAAGGGGTGTGGTAGTAGGGGTCTTGGGAACTGAGCTGAGTGGAGTTCTTGCTGAGCCATGGCTAGCACTTGTGCCCTGGTGGAGAAGCCTCTAGCACTTCTCACTGTCCCGGGCTGACTGAGAATGTGGGCCCTTTTGGTCAGTAATAAGATTCAAGATTGGGGGAGTGGATATGATGGGCTCCCAGGTCCCTTGTCCTTTTCCTCAAGGCCATGCCTCCCGTGTGGGCCAGTGCGGTCCCCTGCACCCCTACCCCCACTCCCAGCATCTCAAAACATCAATCTTTGTGAAGATTCCATTCTGGTCAGAAGCCCTTTTGGGGGGCCCAGAGAAAGGAAGTTAGTGCTGGAATCAGGCCCGAGATGGGAAGAAAGTCTTTGGGTCAGTAGCTTTTCTTTGTTGTTGTTGTTGTTATGTGCCGTTGAGTCAAACCCGACTCATAGCAACCCCTCCTTGGGTTTCCGAGGCAGTATCACTATGGAAGTAGGATTGCCCAACTTTCCTTCCGAGGAGTGGCTGGTGGGTTTGAACCGCCAGCCGTCTGGTTAGCAGGCAAGTGTCTTAGGTTTTCTTAGTGCCTCTTATATCCATTCTGGGCCTGTGCCCCTGCCTCCTTTGGAGCTCCTCCTTGGGCCTTGGGCTTAGCTGTTCCTAAAGGGTGTTGCCCAATAGGACTAGTTCTGGAAAGTGCTTATTCTTGCCCTGTGCGCTGCTAATGTATAGGTGTTTGTCCTCACAGATACGGGGGGGTGTTTTAGAGGGGGGGTCAGAGCCCCAAGGAGGGGATTGTCCCAAGCTCAGGGGTCAGGTGGGTCCAGGCTTCACTCCCTGGCTGTGAGGCTCCTCAGCACATGACCTTAGTGTCCTGATATATCTGTGGCCTGCCTGCCTCCTGCTATGCAGCTGAAGACACTTACCTTGCCTTGTCTACAAAGTGCCTGAACTCCAAATGATAACAACTCTTGGTTCAAACAAGACTGGCAGGGCTGGAGAAGAGGTGAGGGGAAGGGAGGGCTTTCTTTGCCCTCGTGAGTTGGCCAACTGCACTCATTCGTGCGGAGGTGCAAATGTCCTGGGATTGTCTCTCCTGATGCCTTTCCTGGCCCATCCTGACACTTGCAGTAGTGAGCTTTAGAGCTTTCCAGTAGGGCACTGGGCTGTGAGAAAGTAGGCACAGTGAGGGCAATGAAGAGGGGCACTCTTCCTCTTCCACAGCATCTTCAGCCACAGAAAGCCCACTGCTAATCTTGTTCCAAGCTTTGTGCTTTGCATTTGCACCAAGAGGCCTTCATATGGTCTCTTTAACTCCCCACACTCCTGGAGAGGGGCCCTAGTCACATCTGAGTCTCTGGCTTATCCCTTTCTACAGACCCAACAGAAATGGCTGCCAGAGGAGTGGGGTTTGGAGTAGGGGGTGTGGCTTGTGACAAGTGCTGAATTTCTGCTCATGTGGTTTTGCTTTGATTCCTTCTTCTCAATCCATTGTCTAGGGGTGTCAGCCCTTGGTAGCTGCTCTTGCCCAAGTGGGTTGTGTCCTCACAATTGAAGCATACAGTTGTTGGTGGGGCCTGCTCTCCTGTGCCCAGCCTACCCCACCCCCTACTTTCATCTTCTGTTAATATCCTCCATGACCTCTGGTAACATTGAGCAATTCAAAATTCCCTGATAGTGTGCCTCTTGTCTCTGGTCTCCTTGTATTTGCTGCAAGCTCTCCCCTTTGTCTGGGTGGCCACTGTCCCCAGGAAATCTCAGACTGCCAGGGCTGAGTCTGATACCTCAGCTGGAGGAACTTCCCTCCGTCTTGGCTGGGTCTGTGTCCAATTCATCTTTGTTGAACTGGGCTGGGCCTGGTGAGAGATGGCCAGTTGCACTAAATGATGAGAAAGAGGGCCGAAGAGTAGCTAGCCATTCTGTGAATCTGGGTCCAGTTTCATAGGTGAGTCATGGATGGGAAGGGTCTGGGCACTGCTCACACAGGAGCTGGACCAGCCTCAGGAGTTTTAAAGATATGATGTATCTAAATGTGATGCTGGCGATGACCTCCTGGCATTCCCATTGCTCATGGGCTCCCTGTGTGCTGGGCCCAGCTCCATCTGTACCCTCCTTTCCCAAAGTCCACCCTCTCCCACATCCCCCTCCCCCTCCTCCTACTTCCAACTGTTTCCTTCTCACTTGTGTTGGGTTTTGACCATTTCCTCTGGAGAGACCTCTGTGACAATTTCACTGCTGTACTTTCTGCTTCTCCCTGGCCGATGGCTCTGCCTCGTCTCCATCTTGGTCTCTGCCTTCCTCTCTACAAATCCACCTCATCTCTGCCTTAGCATTTCCTCTCTGAGAACCACCTCTATCCACATTCTCCAATCTCTTTGTCTTTCTCTCTGCTCTCTCCATCACTCTCTCCCCTCCTCACCTCTATTTTTTTGCCCCAGCCTCTTTCTGCTAATGTAGAACTATGGAGTTGGAGGGACTGAGAGAGGAAAACTTGTGAGAATCTGGTGGGCCAGCCTTCTGGTTAGGGCCCTTACCCTCTGGCTCCTGGTCCAGCTCCTCCTTTACTGTAGGCCTTTCCCCATCATCTGGCCTTGGGTCTACCTCTCTGCTTCTACTTGCTCATCTCCTCCTTCTGCCCTCCATCTCCTCTCCCTTCCACAGCTGAGAAAGGACAACTGTGACTCATCAGAGGGGAGAGTCTGCCTCTAAGAGTTCCAGTTGGGAGTAAGTGTGTGTAGTTGTGAGTCTGTGCCTTTGTTTGCCTTTATTTGCCTGAATGCGTGTGCCACACTGTGTGTGTGCTAAAGGATGGGCCCAGGAATTGCCTGATGGACTGGGGAAGATGGGAGAAAGTGCCTATATCAGGTCACATCTGATAATAAAATCAAATTGCTACATTGGGAGCCACCCCTTTGGCTCCCCTGGCTGTTTCCCTCATTCTGGAGGGCTCACCTGCAAGGCCAGGGCTGATTTTTTCTGTTATTCGTGGGCCTTGGGCCCTGAAGATGGAGTCATATGGGAAGGTAGGGCTGCCCCAGATTGTCCCCTCTCATGCTCAGCTTGCTCTTAGCAGCCAGGATGGGGGCAGAGACCCATGGGTGCAGTATGATATCAGCAAGGAGGGGCACCCTTGCCCCTCATATTTCCTTGGAAGCTTCCCTTCTCCTGGCTTCAGTCCCACACTGAGCATGTCCTAAGAACCTCCTCTTGGCTGAGCCTTTGATAGAGGGCAGGGCCTCAAGACTTGATGTACTCATCTCTACCCTTGGGGATAAAAGAAGCCAGGAGATTTCTGGTTGTGATAATACTGGCTATGGGTTCTGGTTGGGGGTGGGAAGGGATCTGTGGTTGGGTGACTGGATATTCTCAGTTTTGACATTCTCCCTCTCAAGATAACATTCTCTCCTCCCTCTGCCTTGGCAGGTCCTTCAGAAGCTGGGCAAGGCAGATGAAACTAAGGATGAGCAGTTTGAACAATGTGTGCAGAATTTCAACAAGCAGCTGGTGAGTGTGGACAGCCTCTGGCTTTATGGAGCTTGGAGAAATGGAATAGTGGTCGCCAGGCAGGCAATATCAGGAGCTAGCTTTATGGAATTGGGAGACTCAAAGAAGAGGGTGGTCAGTACAGGCTGATGATCTCATGGAAGACTTCCTGGAAGATGGTGCACTTACATGAAAAGAGGAGGTAGTGGGGTGGGCTTGGTAGGACATAGGAAGGCTGGTGTGGGAGGGGTGGCAGTGTGTGGGAGGGGTGGCAGTGGGTAGGAGCAGGTCATTACCTGCAGGTTATTACCATCAGCCTCTGGAAAGCATGAAGGGGAATTGTCGGAGCTTCTGGTGAGGACAGTGGCCCCTGTGGGGTTTTGTATGGGGTGGGAAGACTGGGTTTGGTTTGAGCAACCCTGAGTATGTCTGTGTCTGACTGTGTGGAAGCTCAAGGCCAGGCCATTTGTAGATTGTGGATACCTCCCTATACCATTGTAAGACAAATGGGATCATCATTTCTCATTTGCAGAAGAAGCACTTGAGGCTCATAGAACTTAGGTGATTTTCCCAGGCCCCTTCAGCCTAAGAAGTGGATTTAGGTCCATAATTGTTTGGTTGCACGTCCTGGAATGGACTTTAAAAACATTGATATCAAGGCCAGGGGCCAGTGACAGAAGGGCCTTACTCATGGTGGCAGTCTAGGGGCAGTGGTTAGAGACAAGGGAAGACTTCCAAACCAAAGGACTCCAAATATACTGCCTGGGGTGCCTCTGAAATCTTTTCCCACAGAGCTCTGCTAAGTTCAAAATAAGCCACTTCTGTGGCTGGCTGTGTCTGAGCATAGTGGAAGGGGGAATCAGATGACCCTGGAATTCCCCTTCCCTGGGAAGAGCCAGGGTAGCAGAGAGCAAGGGGATGCTGGGCCACTAGCTTTGGGGCTTCTGCAGTCCAGCCCCAGTGAGTAAACAATGGGGAGCAAGACCAGAGAAGGAGGCCTGCCAAAAGGGCAAGGAGGCTACATCTTCTGACCTCCTCAGGAGGCTACATCTTCTGACTTCCTCTAACCCCACAAGAGAAAGACAGAATCATCATCAGTAGCCCAAGGGCTGTCCCTGTGAGGCCAGACATGTCGCCTCCCTCTAGCCCTTTCACCAACCCTGACACCAACCGTTCCTCCCGCAGCACCCACCACCTCTTTGCTGGCTTCAATAATGCGCTGCAGTGGCCACACGGAACTCACAGATGATACGGTTTATTAGGGAAGCAACAGGCTACAATCCAAGTTCAGGAACACACTCAGTCTCTCACAGCCCGCCGTCTCTTAACTGACAGTATCTCTCCGAGCACTGTGTTGTGTCTTGCATCTCCCAGCTGGCAGTGTGAGATTCCTTTTGCCTCTAGGAGCTCCTTTTGAGCCTGACAGAGTGACCAAACTAACCAATCCAACATCAGAATTCTATACACCTGAGAGAGAGCAAACTTCCCAGAAAATTACTTCATGCTGCTCCCAACAGAAATATCCCAGGTGGATAGCTTTAACAATCAGGAGCTACTCAGTTGTTCACAGCAAATTCCATAGAGTTTACAAAGACTAATGGCTAGAAAAGCCACAGTATGTAATTTACTACACTGCATGCCACTCCCTGGCTTTTCTAGCCATTATCCCTTTTATACTTCAAAAATTAACATCTCCTTCACCATCAGTTTAAGAATAACCACACCCATGAAAGTGTGTATGCCAGCCACATCATGCCTTTATTTCCCTCCATTTCAGATAGCCAATTTATAATTTGACCCATCCCTATCAAACCAGTAGGAGCTCTGGTGGCATAGTGACTAAGGCATTTGACTGGTAACCAGAAGGCTGGTGGTTCAAACCCACCAGCCACTCCTCAGAAGGAAGGTTGGACAATCTACTTCTGTAGTGATACCTACCTTGGAAGCCCAAGGAGGGGTCCCTATGAGTCAGATTCGACTCCACGGCAGCGAGTTTGGATATTTTTTGGTAACAAACCTGTACTCTGAGGAGACAAGCATGTTCTTTTCTCTGGACAATCTTTTATTGCCTGGAAACTTTGGCCATCTGCATCCATAAACAAGCAAAGTCCAGCCCAGAGCAAGCCATCAAATTGTAGCAACTTAACACCACCTCAGTGTCAAACATCTTCCTCTTCATTTGGTCGGGTTCTGGTCAGCTCAGCCCTAGCCATCCCAGCTAGATCATGAGTTTGTTCCAGCTGCCAGGTATGGTAGTCTTGAAGGCACTCTTCCCTTCACTTCAGACCAGCCAGTACCTTCTGGCCTGTAGGTTCACAACTCCTTGCATTTCAAACCAGCCAGCCCTTCCTCTCATCCCTAGTCTCCATGGCCTAAGTCAAAGAGTACCAAACTCAGCCTGTTTCTTCATTGCTACTCTTCACCTCTTTCTACGCAAGTGGACCCAGGTAGGCACAAGCGAATAGTATACAAGCCTACTACTTGCTGATTCCCTTTAACTTTCAGTCCTGGCAGGGGTTTCTCTCATGGACTATGACTTTCCTGCCTCGATGCACCCAAAGCCTAACTGCTTGCTTGAAATTCAAAAAAGCCAAGCAGTCTTTTTTTTCATTTTTATTTTTTCCTGTAGGTCCTGTCTTCAAATGCAGATTTTCTGTTCTCTCAGTAGTTCTGGTTGGGGCTCAGGATTTCTACCTAAGCCTCTAATACTCTACACAGAGGCCTTGAAACAAAAGCCTGTATTTATTTATTTTTTATTTTTTCCTGATTCTTTTTTTTTTTTTTAATTGTGATTTGGGTGAAGATTTACAGAGCAAATTCACTTT